GTTCGGCCGCCATTTAACGCTTAGCTCAGAACTGGCACGGACTAGGGGAATCCGACTGTTTAATTAAAACAAAGTATTGCGATGGCCCTCGCGGGTGTTGACGCAATGTGATTTCTGCCCAGTGCTCTGAATGTCAACGTGAAGAAATTCAAGCAAGCGCGGGTAAACGGCGGGAGTAACTATGACTCTCTAAAATGCCTCGTCATTTGATTAGTGACGCGTTTTAAACTGAGGTATAGATTGGCTTAAGAAGCGGCATAAACAATATGAAGTGTTGCAAAAAGAACAAGATGTGTTAAGGATACGGTGAGGTTGCTTTGAATATAAACTGGATTGCAGGAGCCCTGGAATGGTCTGGTGCTGAGCTCGCCTTGCTCGCCCGACTGAATTCGGGGCGTCCGAAGAAAACGGGCCGCCTCCAGGCGCGCACGTGTGGGACTGTCTAAGGTTGGCTCTCCTAGAGGACCAAGCTTGGCTTGGAAGCCGGCGGCGTGTTGTATCTTACGACGCGAGGGGAACGCTGCTGGCTGAAGATGCCAACTCAACGGTTCCTGCGTGCAGGAGGTGGTTTAAGAGCGTGAGCGCGCTTAGCTGCGGATCCCCTTCTGCGGCGGAGTGCGCGTAGCGCTTAGGCCTTTTACAGCCAGGCCCAGCCCATTTCGGGGCTTTAACGTAGCTAATACATATATATTATGCTTCCGTGGGCCGCGTGCCCCGGGGGCAAGGCCATTTAAGGGATTTTAATGATCAAGGCAGCCTCGCCTCTCTTGTAGCAAATACAAAAATTATGCCTCCGTGGGTCTTGTGCTCCTGGGGCAAGTCCATTTAAGGGCTTTTTACAAAAGCAACACGCCGCGCATAACCAACACGCCGCGCGGAAGCAACACGCCGCAAGAGAGTCATAGTTGGGGATCTCGATGGCGAATACATAGCCGATATCGAGTCCCAAGTCACGCACCTACCTCCACGTGGTACTCCTGGACCCTCGCGCTATGCGTGAGGTGACTAAATGGTGTTGTAGCGAACGGGTCTAAAAGACCTCACCGGACGCACCTAGAGCTCGGGCCGGCTAGACATGGCCGGTGCTACCGGTGCCATTCCGCACTAGGGAACAGGCGGCCAGGGGTCAGCATCCCCTGCCGCGTCATTTAGGTCGCTCGAATGAGAATGCGCAGAGCCTTGGACGGCGAGGGACACGGTCCCACTCCCTCGACGAACAGACAGGGGACTGCCGACGGCGACCAGGCAAGGAATGAGGATTATGAGAGACGAGTTCCCTTTGAAAGGAGAAGCTGCCATGAGTGCTTAAGAAGCGGCTCGGGGAACTTCATTGGTGCTCATTTTAAATGATGAGATCGGGCACGCGGCTGAGCGCCATGCAGACATGAGAGTGGTGTTCATATGTGGAAAATGTGGAAAAAGGTACATGAATAAACATCCGGCACTATGCCATGTGCCGAAGTGCGCTGCCCCAGCACCACCTCCTGTCGAGGCTCCGGTTACAGGTGAAGTGCACACCTGCGGAGTGTGCGGAGAGGTCTACCAAACAAAAAATGGACTCTCGCAGCACGAAAGGCACCAGCAGGTGAGAAACGCAGCCCGGGCAGGCGGGACAGCGAAGGAAAAGAAAGCACCTTCTTAAAGACACAAAGTCTTCTCCGAAGAGGAGGAAAATAGGATGCTGGAGCTAGAAATAATGTACAAAGGAGTAAGGAACATAGCAGTACGAATGACAGAACACCTGCCAGGGAAAACGGCCAGCAAATAAGAGACAAAAGGGCGACACTGGTATATAAAAGAAGGATGGCGGAGTTCTTGGCTGCAGAGTATGGAGAGGAGGACGAAGCAGAAGAAGAAGGAGTAGAGAAAAGGAGAGATGTGCCCGAGGAGGCGAGAGACTTGCCGGTTCCTCCCGGGGTTCCGCCACATCCCGAAGCGGAAGCAGATAAGGAGGAGGAAATAGATGTGCCCGCGGTGGTTGACGAGTTGCCTGTCCCCCCCGGGGTTCCGCCGCATCTCAATGCGGGAGAAGCCTGCACGGACACCGACACGGCGGTGTCCGGTAATAAGTCCCCGGACTCTCTACCAGTATCCGCATGGAGAGAGGGAATAGCAAGAATGGTACTAAACGTGGAGATCCCCAACGCTATTCCACCCGGGGCAGCAGCTTGCGTCCAGCTGCTTGAAGGAGTCCTGGCAACAATAGTAGAGAACCATGGAGAGCTACCATCAGAAGAAACACTGGAGAAAGTGGACGCAGAGGTATGCAACGTGTTGAGTGCAAACGGTGAGACCCGCAAAACAAGGAATAAAAGAAGCAAGCGCAAAAACAGGAGTAGAAAAGAATACATATATGCCAGGACTCAAGAGTTGTACAAAGAAAATCCAAGCCTTTTAGCCAAACATGCGAGAGAAGGTACCAGCTGGGCCGAAGAACCCAAAGCGGACCTAGAAACGGCCGAAATAAGGAAATTGTACAACTCATTATGGGGCAGGAAGCCCCATATTAAACTACCTGAGTTGGGGAAGGCCGAGCCTGAAACAGCCTTGGACATCGTGCTGACCCCAATCTCGGCAAAAGAAGTGAAGACACGGCTTGCCCGGATAAAGGCCAATGTGGCGCCGAGTCCGGACGGACTCATAAAGAGGGATGTGAGTCGTGCGGCAGACATAGAAGTCCTCCGGCTCTGGTACAATATAATTATGGTCCGTGGATACCAACCAGCAGCCTGGAGGGTAAACAGAACAACACTCCTACCTAAAGAGGGGCAGGACAAGAGTAAAGTAACAAATTACAGACCTATCACTATCAGTTCAATTCTGTCACGATTATACTGGGGGATCGTTGATCAGAAACTAAGAAGTGTAATCACAATGACACCCAGACAGAAAGGGTTCACGTCTGAAGCCGGGTGCTTCAACAATGTCCACATCCTCAATGAATTGCTTAGACATGCCAAAGTATCAGAAGGCCTGGTCGTAGCGCAATTGGACGTCTCCAAAGCCTTTAACACAGTACCGCATGAGGTCATAGGAGTTGCGTTACGGAAGAAGGAACTACCCGAGTTTGTGGCTTGTGGTAGATTCCTTTGAGGATGTGAGAACAGTCATTAAGAACAAGAACGACTATATAGAGATAAAGCTCCAACGCGGGGTCAAGCAGGGGGACCCCTTATCTCCGTCAATTTTCAACCTTGTGATGCAGCCTATGCTCAAAGCGCTGGAGAGTCAGCCGGAATACTAAATCGGAAACGAAGCAGGCGTTTCTGTACTGGCCTATGCTGACGATATCATCCTGACAGCAAAAACGGCACCACAGGCCAGTGATCTGCTGGGTTATGCGGAAGGCTACCTGAATGGATTAGGTATGAAAATTTCGGCGACAAAATGCGCAGCCTTCCGCATAAACACAACTAAAGACTCCTGGTACCTAGCGGATTCCCGGCTGACACTTTTAAGTAGAGAAAGTATCCCGTACGCGGATGCGGGTACTTCGCTAAAATACCTTGGTATTAAAATATCTCCTTGGGCTGGAATAGACATCAAGGGCCTAAAAGAGAATCTCTGCTCAGCGACCAACCGAATAAGAAAGCTGGCGCTGAAACCATACCAAAAGGTGAATCTAATCTCCACTTACCTAGTCTCACACTACCTGTACCAGTTGGTACTGGCAGTACCGCCAGTAACCTATCTTAGGCAACTAGAGATCGGAAGAGCACACGTCT